ACAATAATATCTGAAAGATAAAATAGTCATCCATCTGGCCCCAGTGATTCTCCAACATCTTACTTACTATGCTTTATTTTTTCTTCACATCACTAAAAATTTAGGGAGACATAATTAATAAATATATGATATATATATATACATATAATCATATATATCACATTACATATGCATATACATTATATATCACACTATATATGTATACATGGTCCATGAGGGTAGTACTTCATCTTGTTTTACTGTTATATTCCAACATATAGAATAATGACTAAAACAAAGTGAGTCCAAAGTATTGTTTGAATGAATGAATGAATCAATCAACCATCTAACGCAGAAACCTGGCAATCACCATTGACAATTCCTTTCCACCCATTCTCCATAGCTATTTAGTCAAGTCCAATACAAGCCTTAGTTAAGCTCTCTTTACTCTTAGATTATCATATTAGGCTCCTAATAGATTTCTCTGCCTCTTGTAAGACACCCTTATCCAATCTGTCATCCACACTGCTGCCAGAAAAACCTTTCTAAAATACAGAACAAAATGAACATTTAGTTCATGACACTGCTTCCTATAACACCTCGGTGGTTCTCACAGCTTTTAGTACAAAACTCAAATTTCTTACTTCAACCCTCAGACTCTTAGCGATCTAATCCCTGCCTGCATTTCTAGTCTCGCATCTCATGCCTTCCTAACAAGCTTTCTTTTTTTTAATTTCTGCTACATGTCAAAGGTGATCAAACCTAAAAGATCAAAACAGGAAAGTTTAGAATGTAGGAAAAAAGGATCACTCTCAGCAAGATAGTATACTAGAAATAAAAGGGAATCATTAAACAAGGAATGAAGTATCCATGGTCTTTCAGCCTTGTGGATATCCTGTTTAAAAAAACCTTTTTACCATTCTCCATCTCCTCAATCTTTCATTAAAGGATTATGGCTTCATTTTTTTTAATGTTTGTTTAGTTTTGAGACAGCAGGGGAGGGGCAGAGAGAGAGGGAAACACAGAATCTGAAACAGGCTCTAGGCTCTAAGCTGGAAGCTCAGAGCCCAATGTGGGGCTCAAACTCATGAACTGTGAGATCATGACCTGAGCCAAAGTCTGATGCTTACCCGACTGAGCCATCCAGGCACACCCCTTCTTTTGTTAATGTTTTAGGACTTCATTTTAAAATAAGTTTCTCACTGGTATTCATATGAAATGGTGAGTCTGTGACACAGTTGATGAGGCTGAGTAGATTGGCACATTTAAGAATATCCTTATAACTGTGAGTGGTATGGTGGTTTTATTGCAAACTGTCAAGTTATACAAGTGAATCATTGGGACCCCCATCTTGATTTCACTTTTTCAAGTCCTCCCACCCTTTCCACTATGGCACCCAAAGCCTATAGGCTACTTATGTAGTAAAAAATTTAACCTTGCCCAAAGAACAGGCATGTTTGTTCTTCGCTCCTGGGAGGTACTCTCTTAAGCTCTTGAATATCTTGCCTGATAAAAATATTTTTGTTTATCTGAGGGTTGTGGACCACATAAGATAGTCCCATAATGTGATTTATAGTAAGAGATTTGGTCATGTGGCTCAAGAGGGCCTGGAGACTGAGGTCAGCTACATGGGCAGTCCACCACGTCTACATGACGGTGCCCCAATAAAGACTCTGGACATAAGGGCTCAGGTGAGTTTCACTGGTTGGCAACATCCTGGGCATATTGTCACATGTCATTGCTGGGAAAGTTGACACTGACTCCACTGAGAGAAGACAAACTGGAAGCTCCATATGTAGGACTTTCCTAGACCCTAACTCAAGTGTCACTTCCCTGGGTTGATTTTAATCTATATCCCTGGTGCAATAAACCATAACAGTGAGTATAACAGATTTCTCTCAGTTCTATGAGTCTTCTAGAGCATTATTGAGACTGAAAGTCATCTTGAGGACCCTTAAACTTGCTGTTGGTGCAATGCCCCCTCACATATTTTTCCTTCGATGATATCTCCTCACTCCATGGCATTCTTCAATCTCAATTTTTTTTTTACCTTTCTTAAGTTTCTTGCCATATCAAGATGAATGTGTGTGTTTTTTTAAATCCCATTCTTTCAGATCCTTGCTAAGTATATCCCTGCATGCTAAATTTACTCTTTAAATTACCTCCTTTTTAAGCTTTCAGTATAATTTTGGTTTGTTGTTGTTTTGTTATATATTAATGACAAAAACATCCTACTCAATTCTCTAATAAAATAAATAGAAAGAAAACACTAACACAAGAGTATTCCCAGAAAATGAAAGATGTTTCTACATTGAAAGGGCCTACTGAATGCCCAGCACATTAAGTTGAAAAAAGACCTGTACCAAGGCACATTATTGTAAAATTTCAAAACATCAAAGATAAACAGATGATCTGAAATATTTAAGAAAGAAAATAAAACGGTCACCTATAAAGAATTACTATAAAAGATTTCTTGAACTGCAAGGCAGAAGGCAATGTCTTTAAAACAGAGAAAACTATTTACAGCCTAAAATTCTATACCCACCCAGATTACCCTCATGCTCATGTGTGAAATAAACACATTTTTGGAAATGTAATGTACACATTTTCAGGAGGCCACTGGATGATACACTCCATTCAACTAAGGAAATGGATGATGAAAATGAAACACGAGTTCTAGGACACTGGATTTAACACAGATGCGAGGCATTAACTCTACAGGAAGTTTAGAGAATTACCAATCCACAGAAGAACAGGAGAATTTTAGCTCCTAGAAGGAATCATCCCCCACCCAAATCAAATGGTTGGAATATTTGGTATTTTTTTGGAAAATCTTTTTCAAAGAAGGTTTAAAATTCTTTTGGAGTATCTGAGAAGAATTAGTGATAGTGACAACTCCTGATTAAATGTTACATTATTGTGTCATGCCAATTTAACAAAAAATCTATTTTAGGAAAAAAGTACTTCTAAGTTTCTGATAACACACTACTGTTTTCATTTCATTTTTTTTTAACTCAGAAGTATCCAATTTTTGGATGTTAAAGAGGTTTTAACAAGATTTTTCTTTTTATTAAGAACTCACAATAAAATGTTATGGTTATAGAGAGACTAAAAATTGTGAAGTACACCCTGAAATAAAGGAGCATTATTTTGTATTCTATAAATGAAATCTTAAGGTTGAAAGATATTATTTCCTTCATTGGTTCCGAATTTTTTTAAAAAATCTATTCAAAAATATTCAGTTTTCCTTATATCTTTCTTTGCCTCGGTTTTTAATATCTTGATAATGCTACCTTTTGTAAAGTATTAAACTCATGACTCCAGCAGATGGCAATTATGAAGCAAGAAGATGTGTAGTGAAAAAAGAGTTTTTTGTTGTTGTCAGAGATAGCCTAGATTCAAGTACTACTGCATGAGCCTGAGTAAGCTCCTTCTTTGAGCCTTAGTTTCTTTATCTATAATCTCTATCCTGCAGGTTCATTATGAAGATTAGAATAATGTATATAAGTGCCGGCAAAATATATATGTAACTAATAATGGCAATTTTCTTTCTTTCTGATCTTCTCTGTGGTCCAGGAGGCTTACTTGTAAAGAATTTGTAGACTTCACAATCAAAATACTTGAGTTCAAATCTTAGTTCTTCCATTTATTATCCTGTAACCCTTGGAGTCGTTACTTATTCTTCTTAACCTTATTTCCAGCAATTCTATCATGAGCATAATTACAAAAAACCCTGTGATGAGATAGTGGTGAATATATATTCTACAAGCATGGGATTGGTACACGATAAGTTCTCAGAAGGTTTAAGTAATAACAATGAACCAGAAGATATAGTTTCTCTCCTCTTCATGGTTAATTAAAGCAAAATAAAGTAACAGAAATGACTCGGTAAGACTAGCATTTCATGAAGTTATATGTGACATGTGACCTATTTTAACCATTTCCCCATAAAACAGAATTAGAAAATGCCTTCCAAGATACATTTTAATTCATCTACATGCTACTTGGCCGAGAATACTTACCTACTTATCACTTTGGTCAATCAGATACAGTAGCACCCCTTCCTTTGTGCAACCTCTTGCTACCTATACATATTTCCCTTTCTTGTCTCTTTCTTACTGATATTTAGTTGACTGAGCAAATTGCCAAGTGGCTTGTTGAATTGGTCACTGAATTGAAACATTGGTTTTGTAAGAATGAATAATTTGGCAGCCCTGCTAATGTAAGACAGAGGAGTAAAAAAATAATGATAATAATAATGGGGACATGGTGATGTCTGTAGTATGTCTGTAGATCCAGCATAGTTTCATAGTTTTTCTCTTTGACTTTGGCGTTTTAGTTTTTAACCTTTGACAAGACACTTGTTTTTACACTTTGAGGCCAGAGACACTATCTTACTTAAATTTCAATCACTGGCAATTAAGATATTATGTGTCAAATACAAGATACTTTTTAAAATGTTGCTTAATAAATAAATTAGAGTATACATAGATTCCTGAAACTCTATCACCACACTACCAGAACAACTAGCTAGCAAGCAAAAAGAAAACATTGAATTATTTTCTAAACCTCTCCATTTAAATCAAATAAAATCCCAAACCCACTGGTATGCAAATTTTATTTTGTTTCTTAATGATGTAAATCTAGATGGAACATTTAGTATATGCTTGTGTTGTTTCAAGAAGTGCAAAGGTAATTCAGTCACAGCTTACCACCCCCAAGAACTCCCACTTAAAATGAAGTCACAAGCAAAGCCTTTTCACTGTACACAACTTCCCTTTTATAGAGAGTTTGCTTAAAAAATGTAAGCAATTTCACAGACGGAAGATCTGAGTAATTTCTTAAAGGTCATATTTCCCCCTAAAATTGGTTTCTTCACCCTTACATTCTCATTGTACTGGGTAGAATTTTTTATTGTTGCATGTTGAAGTTAAGGTTATGACGATTTTACAGTCATATACTTTGCTGTTTGGAAGCAGAATTTTTATATAAGCAAATACGTAGCAAGGTAGCTTTCTTACCTTGTTCTTGTGCATGAACAGCACTGTCTGCCACACATAGCACAATAAAATGAAGAAGCAGTTTCCTAAAAACAAAGGGGGTGGATTTTAGAGGATATTTACAACCTATAAATCATATAAAATCCAAAATGAACTCTAGTGCATGATTAAGAAGTAAGCTATTATTTTAATTAACACAGTATTTTAATAGTCATATTGGTTAAGAGCAAGGGCTCCAAATTTAATTCCACCTTTGCCACTTACTGTATGACTCAGGAGTACTTTCTATTGCCCTGGTGTTTCTTCATCTGTTAGATCTATCTCATAAGGTTTTTGTAAATTAAAAATTTTCATGTAAAGCACACAAAACAGTACCTGGCACACAGGAAGCACTCCATAAATGTGAACAAGTATAAATGATATTATTAATTATTATTATCACATATTATGTCAAATTATCATACATGCAATTTTATACAAAGTAATATGTTTACACAAAGCCACATAACTTATAGTCACTTAACCACAGTGTTTACAAATTGATGGAAACAGTAATTTATTTTTGAGAATGAGAGAAAGAGCAGAGGATGAGCAGAGGTGGGGCAGAGGGAGGGAAAGAGAGAGGGGGGAGAGGGAGAGAGAAAGAGAAAGAGAAAGAGAAAGAGAGAGAGAAAGAGAGAGAGAGAGAGGATATCTCAAGTAGGCTCCACACCCAGTGCAGAGCTGGAAGCAGGGATAGATCTCATGACCATGAGATCAAGACCTGAGCTGAAATCAAGAGCTGCATGCTCAATCCACTGAGCCACCCATGTGCCCCAACAGTGATATGTTTAAATAAATGTTTATATGTAAAATCCTTTTGATTATCATATTGAAGCCATTTGAATGTCACTTGCACTAAATTCATGATACTCCATTCAGTTCTGAAAACAGCAATGGCCTGTAGATGTCAACATCAAACACTTTGATTTGCAGTAATTTTGAGCATTGTACTCAATCACCGCAGATCAAAATGTTCATTCATATCGATAGCTAAGAAAAAATATTTTGTGATTTCTTTTTTTAGTATAACCAAACTTTTGATAGATTTTGTTAAGGAGTCTTCATAATTGGCTATATCCACCACCCAAGTGAAATTCACAGAGATAAATTCAAAAAGGAATGAATGATAAGCTTGCTGAAAACAGTATTTTATTACCTGATTCTGTTTTCTATTCTAAATCAGAGACTCCTCAAATGACATTTGTGCAAAATGTAGTTCTGTAAGGAGTGATTACAAAGCCATCTGAAAATCATTTTTTCTTAAAAGTTCCTGGTATACTAAGAGCAGTTGGCACATTTCCTATTTATTACCAATAATAAATGTTTTTATCTTTATCAACTCATATAAGGAGCATGCTAACATAACAAAGATAATCTTTTACAAAGTGGGCCAACAATATACAATTATACTATTCTCTTTGGTATAATGGAACTATCATTTGTATTAAAATGGTCTTAACCATATCTTAGTAAGTGAAAAATGTGCAGTCTACGGTCATGCTCAGTACAGAGCACAGCTTTGATAAGACAGTTTTGATAGAATACTTAAAACTGTCGCCAACTCTATAAACTAATTAACTGAATAATTACAGAAATCTCAACTGATATGGGCAAATGGCTGAACCATAACATTTTAATGAAGCATATAACAGACTCTTATGTATGGTGTCATCCATGTAAAACAATGGTTAGTTTGCTAAAAGAACCCCCTGAGGAACTTGTGAAAAATGTAAATTCTGGGCTTGTCTCAGAGATTATGAATCATAAATTTGGAGTGAATCCTCACTTCGGATACATTTTTAAGTAGGAGATTCTAATATAGATTGTGCATATACCAAACTCTGAGAAAAAAAGAATTTAGAACATTTTCTATTTATAGTTACATTGTACTTAAAACACAAATATTATTTTGTTAAAATCACATATATCTAATTTTATGACACAACATTAGGTTATCCAACCCTTGTGTTTTGTTTTATCCTTTTCTCCTGCTCTAGATCAGTGGTTTCAAACTTTGCTATGCATCAGAATCACCTCAGGGCTTGTTAAAGATTGCTGGGCTCCACCCAGAGAGCTTCTGACTCACTAGGTCTGGGGTGGGGGGTGAGAATTTGCATTTATAAAGAGTTCCTAGGCAATGCTGGTGCTGTATGTCTGGGGTTTACACTCTGAGGACCACTGTTCTGGAACAGATGATGCTCAAGAGATGATGAAAAGCCTGTTTGGGATCTGTTTTTTATCTTCACCGCACAGTGGAATCAGCTGGGGAGTTTTAAAAACTAATACTCGGGTCCTGCCCTCCCTACCCCCTGTCCCACAGATTCTGATTTTAATTTGTGTGTGGTACAGAGATTTTTAAACACTCCCCACCTGGTTCTACTGTGCAAACAAGTTGAGGACCTCTGTGTGAGATAAAAATGCTATCTCTAGGTTCTCCAGGATAGATCCCAGTGTGATCTAGACTTTGAGTAGAAAGAAGCTCTTTCCCTTTCAAATTTATATTTCAACAAAATAACTGACAGGATATATATCAGTGAGACTAAAAAGTAAGGATTATAATCACCGAAGGAGAGTACATCAGAATTATGCTGTCTTAGCAGAAAATGGAATGTGAAAGGAAACACTCAGGGGCATCAGCTGTACTTCCCAAGGTAATCTGGCTCACTTAGAGTTTAGAAACAACCCAACGGGCACTTTTTCGTTCAGAGCAAGCTAACTAATGAAGAGTACAGCAACCGGCACTATTCATTTAGCAATTCAGCCAACTCATAGACTTCCCCAATGACCTCAGGGGAGAAAAATGAAAAATAAAGTTCTTTCTAGACATGCTAACAAGTCCATTCCTGGTGTAAGGCAGGAAAACCTGAACACATCAAACATCCCTTAGCCAGGTGATCTTAGGGGATTATGACAAACCAGTTGAGCCATACATTATGTAAGTGTACCTATGTATTAAAACTGATGACTAATAGAGAGGTAGAGATTGATGACTGAAATAGAGATTTTCTTTCTCTTTTTCTAATCATGCCCCAAACTAACAGCCAACTAAGGAAGAACATATGGATATCCATATCCATAGCAATATGGATTCCATTATTCCTAACCACCACCCCCCACCCTCCCCTGAAGCTCCAGCCATATCGCATTATACTGTATTTCCTGGAGAGACCTTCTAAGTGTCTGAAATGCCCTCTCAGTCTTCACCTGTCAGAATCCTAAGTATCATCAAAGCCTAATTTGAATAACATCTGCTCCGTGAAGTTTCCATCATCCCTAAAGAGGGCTGGATTCTGTACTCTTAATGCTATAATTGTAAATTTATTATATCCCATATATATTGTACCTTTTAGGATTAATTAGTAAGTAAATATCTGAACAAGCAACAAGTTTTCACCTTTTATCTATTTCTTACATGAAATTGACAACTAGTAAACATTTTTAAAAAGGAAAGGAGAAACAGTAACATCTCCCAATGAATGAGGAATTCAATTCTTCCCTATGGACCTAATTCTTTTAACACTTGAGAAAAGGAAAGTAAAATAAGGGTACTTTTAGTTGGTTGTCCAAAGAGAGAAAGAAGAGAAAAAAGAACTTAAAAATATCTGTTATGATAGGTTAAGTGGAAAGGCTTCCTCTCATTTTTTTCATTTTAACTGTTTTTCTCATCTTTGAAGTGGGAACACAGAGAAGACATCAAGCTTAATTGACACACTCAGTTAAAGAGCCAAACTCCATCACTGTATGAAATGGATGTCTAATAAATCCAAGCTTTCTGGAAAATGGTTGGGTTGGGCTTGTTTATTTCTTTGGTTTTGCCCTCCTCCCCCATGATATCACACTTACTATACATTCACTTAATTAAGAAAAAATACACATTTCCACATTAGCCGATAATAGAGTTCTCAGGGGCATCAGCTGTACTTTGTGCTTGTCCCATTGTACTATGCATGCATTTAGTGCAAAGTCTTGCTGGAGTCCTTGAATAAGTTAAAAATTAAACCCGTATTAAGCTGGAGAGAAAACAACATGGTTAATAAGAAAATAAAACTACACTGGAGTCAAAATACTAAACCTGCTTCTATTTGTAACTTACGCTGTGACCTTGGGTGGGTCATTTCAATTTCCCGAGTCTTGGCAACTTCTCTATTATGTGATGGTATAATACAAATTTCATATTTTACATTCCAAATATAAAACCTCAAAATCTCTGTGTGTGGTGGGCTCCTGTTAGTATACTAGCATTAGATGACAAAGATCAAATTATTTAGCAAGATATTCCATAAATCACCATATATAATAGACATGATATTTAACAAGTCTGGAAACGTCTTCCTACAGTTCCATGCAATACTCTCTTAATTATGTAACCTAAAATAGTCTACTAAGTTTGCTCATTTGTTCACATATTTACTTCAACAAAAACTCTAGTTGGTATATTAAATATGAATACTTTTCAAATATTTGAAGCATGTCTGTTTTTGTTCACTTTTCTGTATGTCTGGACTGTAAGTCACTAATATAAACTAACCAGAACATATACTCAGGCATTACACAAAAACAGACGGGATCTAAAAGAAGTCAACAATATGGTAACAGTCAATAAAAGTTCAGAAAATATAACCCATGATCTTAATATCTGAGGATTTCTAACAAAATATGAAATACTCTGTGTGTCTGGTCTGCTAGCCACATTTTCAGTGTGACAGAAGCCACAATCAAAACATAACCAGACATGTGAGAGGTGAAGGCCTGGAGGGGATCAGACAGGAAATAGATATCCAAAGACCATACTCAGAATATTTAAGGAACTAATATCCATCCCAGGCATCTTCCCTAAATAATTCTTAGAGCTATTCAACTTTCTCCTTTTCTGAAGGGTTTTAGTTACTTTAAGGGAATCCCAGGCATCTTTTTGTTTAGGCTGCCCATGAGACTCTCAGGTATTATGTCTTCAGGCTACTAAAGCTCATTCCTACATAGATTCAAGTTAGAATAGTAGGAAGGACTTGTGAAATCTCGGGAATAGGGAATTTGTTTTGTGAGCTGGTGATTTTAACTTAAACCAGTTGGAAAAGGCAAAATAATCTGAAAACCACTCACATGTGATATACATAGATAATTTCAACAATTTCCATTACACTACATTTACAAGTCAAAAACTTTGTTATGACAACTTTACTTGTTGCAAAGATACAGAAATAGAAAAAAATCTGTCCTTTATTCCTTAAATACCTGAAAATCATTTCTCATCCCAGCAGTGGGGATAAAGCTGGGTGATTCAGGGAGTAGTCACTAACTTACATACAATGACTTTCTCAATCAGTTCAACTCAGTAGGTACTTGTGTAACTAATGCAGCGTGAAGCATTAGAACTTTTGGTTAATTTCCAAGTGTAGAGGGAATTTATGAAGTACGGGGAAGATAAATGCCTAAGGACTTCAAGGGATCAAAATGTCTAGAGTCCAATCAGTAGCAGGGAAGAAAAATACCTCAACTAGTCTGTCCTTGTAATACCACAGAGATTGTTAAAATGATTGCTACCTAGCCTTAGCGAAGTTCCTGACACACAGCACTGTTAAATAAAGATTGTTAAATGAATGAGTCAATCTTCAGTTAGTAAGACTATCAGGTGGTCTTGAGTTTCAATAAACATACAACTTCTCTAGTGTCTTCTACACGCACACTGATTCCAAGACCAAGGAGTGAGGTCATCCTAACCTCCGTATGTTTAGCTAAGAAAGTAACCTGGTTTAAAGGCCTGTCACAATCTGGTCTCTGGTCTCCAGATTCAGCTCTGGTCATTCCTTCTCAAGTATGTGTGCTTCACCCAACTTCATTTCTTCCAGGCCCTCAGATGAACTGTGCTGTCTCACCATTCAGCCTTTTAATGTTCTGTCTGGAAAGTTCCATGCCTTTTCCAGTTAGGTCTCTGTGTGGATTTCATTTCCTTTGGTGAGCCTTTCTTTCCAGGATTACCCTTCCATATACACCCCACCTTCCCAGGACTGCTAGGTGTCCTCCTGTCTATACCTTTACCTCTTTTTGTTATACGTGGTTGTTCATTTTCTTTTTCCAATACCAGATTGGGCACATAGGGAGGACAGCAATTGTGTTTCTGTCTTGCTCCACCACTGTATCCCTTCTGCTTAGAACAATGCTGGGCACATAGCTGGCGCTCAGAAAACATTTGTTGAATATATGAGTGCATGATTGAGTGAATGAATGACAGAATAATGTTAGCCCTTTATGAGAATGAAAAGGAAATGGTCTTCACTTCTCATTCAGAGTTACAAGTTCTAAAATAAGTCACAGTTGCAAAGCATGGCAAGGAAAGTAGCACAGCTATTTTAACTCCCAGGATAAAATTTATTTTTCTCCTGTCACTTCACAGATTACCAAGCAGAATGTCTAAGCAACACTCAAAATTACTTTCCATAATTTACAATACCTGTCCTTGAGACATCAGTTTTATTTTAAACATCTACTTGATAGCAAAGATAACTAAGCAACTTTAAAGAATAGAATTTCATGCCAACTAGGAAATAGATGTTTATATTCAAAACTCCTCCCCGCCCCCCACCTTGGTTATGGAAACCCTGTGATTACAACGATAGTATCTAACCTTGACTTTTGGTTTTAATCTCCCTTTATTACTTCCACAAATTCACATTAAGCAACTCGCCTAAAAGCAGGACCATGCGGGGCAGCTGGGTGGCTCAGTTGGTTAAGTGTCCAACTTGGGCTCAGGTCATGATCTCACAGTTTGTGGGTTTGAGCCCCACATGGGGCTCTGTGCTGATAGCTCAGAGCCTGGAGCCTGCTTCAGATTCTGTGTCTCCCTCTCTCTACCCATCCCCCACTCATGCACTTGTGTCTGAGATCACTCTCTCTCTCTCTCAAAAATACATAAACATTAAAAAAAAAAAAAAAAGCAGCTCCATGAAACAAAGGATCCAGTTTTAAAACTGTAAATGTTTTTGGATGACTAATCAGAATTGTGATTTTTAAAAAAACTGCTCCTGCTCGTACAAAAACTTCACCACAAGAGGATGGTGGAAAATTAAAACCTCAAGGATTTCATTAGAAACTCTAAGGTTTAATTCAGTGGCTTGACATTATCATCAGCTAATCAGCTGCTTCTGCCAAGTCCCCTCCCCTACAGGGTTGGTAGCAGTTTTTGTTTTTTCAAATTGAAGAACGCATAATTCTTTAAGGAAGTTGGATTTTTTTTTTTTTTTTTTTTTTTTTTTTTTTTTGAGAAACAGTTTTCTCAGATCAATCAGCAACTACCTTTTCCCTACTTGGCATGTGTATAGTTGGAGGTATAAGGGGCTGCAATCTGATGTAACTTTGAATTACTTCTTTTGTTTTAATTTTTTTAAATGTTTTTATTTATTTTTGAAGGAGAGATAGAGCATAAGTGGGGGGAGGAACAGAGAGAGAGGGAGACACAGAATTCAAGCAGGCTCCAGGCTCTAATCTGTCAGCACAGAGCCCGATGCGGGGCTCAAACTCACGGAACTGTGAGATCATGACCTGAGCCGGAGTCGGATGCTCAACCGACTGAGCCACCCGGGCGCCCCTCTTTGAATTACTTCTTAATTGTCTGCAGCCCACCCTCACTGACAACTGTAGTGGAATAAGCTGGATGTCAAGGAAGCTGCAAGGTACCCCCTGGCAGACAGGCCTTCTAGACCAGTGTGTTCTCCCACAATCCTCTATCAACCAACCCCAGCGTCTCTCTGACAGGGTTCTTTTCCCATTCCACGTAGTCTAATTTTTCCTCAGTTCCTTGGTGTAATCCATTCTGTTTCGTTTCTCTGCCTCCCTCCCCCCAATCATCTGGACCCAATTTACAAACCCCAAACTGCCCAAAAATTTATGCAGGGCCTTTTCTGGGAGCGTCTGGAAGGGAAGCGTAAACCAGACAAGACAGAGGCCAGGAGCAGAAGATCTGCTTTAATCCTCGAGATGGAGCAAAGCTACCAACCCCGCGGATGGCTGGCTGGGCAGCGACGCAGGTCTTACTCAGTGTCCAAGGGAAAACCCTCGGGTTGGGAGCTGGCCGGCAGCGCAAGAAGGGCACAGGGATGAACGCGGAGGCGTCGGCCGGACAGGCGGTGGAGGGCCTCACCCAGCTTCTCCCGTTGGAGCCTCCCCTCGGGGACCTGAAGCTCATTCTACCATTCCACCCGCCCGTATCAGCAGGAAGATGCGAGTGGTCCCGCAGGATCCGCGGCGCCTGGAGCCCGGCTTTCCAAGCGGGTCCATGCTGAGGGGCTCTTCAGAAATGTGGCGGGAAACCTGCCTGGGAAGCTGGTGCGACCCACGTGAGCCGCCCTGGGGAAGGTGACCAGCATTGCCTGACCTCTTCTGGGACCGGGACCTCCCTGGTCGCGGGCACCTGGACCCACGCCCAGCGTTGCAAGCCTTCCTCCCCACTGATTCGTCCGGCTGCGGGAGCGTGGGAAGGTGCGTCCTCGGTAGCACGGAAGCCCAGCCGCCCAGCCGCCCAGGCTCCAAGGGGTCAGAGGAGAGAGAGGGCGAGCCCCAGCCACGCACGGCTGCACGCGGCTGGGAAGCACATGTGCACACAAACACTGCCACAAGGCGGTCTTTCTCCGCGCCCCGCCTCCCTCCGCCTGCCCTCAGCGGGCACGGTCGGTTCTGCCCCCTGCCCACCTCCCACCTACTCTCCCAAGGGGCAGCTTGGGGGAGAGAACGACCACAGCCACTTTGGTCCCGCCCGCCCCGGGGCCAGAAACAAACTTGCATAACCCACTGACCTCTTCCCGGGGAAGCAGGGTAGCCAGCCCAGGCACGCACCCCCCTCCACTCTCTGATCCCAGTGAGGGAGTGGGAGCAGGTACCAGCGCCCAAAGAGGAGGTGGGGTGCCAGTCGGGGCCTGCGCTAACCCTCCGCGGGAGGAGCAGCCCCGCCCCCGCGTCCAGCCCCTTCCCCAGTGACAGGCCGGTGGAGCAGGACGCAGCCTCGGCCCCAGATGGGCAGCACGTGTGTTGGCCTCCTAACAACAAGAGGAGATTGCCTCTGAGTGCAGTCGCGCCCTGATGCCCGAGGTTTTGCCGGTACCCTCTCCCCAGCTCCGGCCCCCCTGCCCCACGTCTGTTCCCCGCGGTCCAGGCTGCGGCCACAGAGCCCAGAGGACCGCCAGCACCCCATCAATCCCCAGGCTGAACGCCGGAACAAGCACCGCGAGAAAGCAGAACCTCAGCCAGGGCCCTGAGAAAGAAGGAAGGAGGGCGCGAGGGCGGCGGGAGCTGGAGCCCCGGCGGGCTTCCGAGCTCAGCTCGGGAGTCGCGGGAGCCGCGGGAGCCGCGGGAGCTGCGGGAGCCGCTGCCGCCGGAACCGGGACGCGCGCCAGCGAGCTTTTCCTTACCAGCCGCAGGACCTCTTTAGCATAAACTGAGAGATCCGCTGGCAGGAGGCTTCCTTTCAAACACGGTGTTTTACAAATTGAGGAGACAAGGGGAGGATGCCACGGCTGCTCGCCGGCTCCCAACTTTAAAAAGTGCCAAGGAGCGGGAGCACAGATCTCCGACCCGCCCAGTGGGTCCAGGGATTGGGGAGAGGGGTGAGTCTAGCCCTTGCATCCTGGCGATTGGGCTACTTACGTTTTTGCCGTGTGGGAGACCTTTCCACGCCTTGTCCTGTGGGCTCCTAAATGCATTTGTATGCATTTGTCCCTGCAGCGAAGCACTAACGGAAAACAGAAGGCAACTCCGAACTGCTAAGGGTGCAGGTACTGGCCATGAAAAAGGAAAAAAATAAAAACAAAAAAAACTCACATGTAAACGATGCTCCAAAAACCTCAACGACAACAACAACAACAACAACAAGGGAGGAGGGAAATAGGAAGGGGGGGGGGAGAAATAGCACGCAAAGGGTAGATCTACGCGAGCTAGGCTTTCTAGTTCCCTAGCTCGGTAACGGACAAGCCCGGGGGGGAGCGCTCCTGTGGGAGGGCGGGCGAGAGGCGAGACCTCACTGGCAGGCGGCGGGGCGCCGGCAGCAGCTGGAGCTCGGCCGCGAGTGCAGCCCTCGAGTTCACTTGCGGTTCAAAGGCGACTCTGTGACTCCAGTGGAGCCCTCAGCTTTGGGCCTGGGAGGAGAGAAGGGTTGGGGGAGGGAAGGAGATGAAGGGGGTGAAGGGTGGGGGAAGTCCTTGGAAACAACCCGCGCCGGAACATTTGTCAGACAAGCTCACACACCCACTTCGGAGATCTAGTTGGTGCGAGGGGGCCGGTGGCAACTGCAGGCGCTCAGCTTTGACTGCCGCCGGCTGCTTCCCCTGGAAGAAGAGGAGCGCAGCAAATCCGGCCGGTGTTAAATTTCACCGCTCACTGACTTGCAATGACATCACCAAACACAGTGCACACCTCCCCCTCCGCCCCGCAACCTACCCCCGACCCGAGCCCGGCTCCCGCGCCCGGTCCGCAAGCCCCTGGGCCCGCAGCCGCCCCGGCCACGCCCCGACGCTCCAGCTTCCCACGCCACCCTCCCTCGTCGTCCCCGAAACTTGTAGGTGACTAGTATCCTTCCTTCGTCCTTTTTTCCGGCAGTCCCCAGTTTGATGTTTTCCGCTTGCCTGTCTCCCATCCCCAATTTTTCATCTCCGTCCTCTTCACACACACTGTCTGGAATTATACTCAGCGGGACCCTTCATTCTGCTCCGACTTTCTTGTGTTTTTGCAGTGATGCTTGTGGCCTAAGCCATATTATAAACGGACTGTGACGGTCTCCTTTCTACCTTTCCTCCCCTTCACTCTTGACTTTCAGTCTGCCCCCTGTACAATTTCTGCTTTCTGCCCTCCTCCAGCTTATGAGCATGGATTAATGATTTGTGTTTATGCATCTAGAACAGGCTAAGAGACTACAGTCTTTCCAATTTGAATACCTTCTCCAATTTTTGTAACACATTTTTTTTTTTTTAACATAAGCTTCGATCCCCTCACAGCCCTTTCACAGCCTGAGACGTCTACCTTCCAAATTTTGGGGGGGAAATTAACTTTCTGATTTTATCATTTTATCAATAAGACTGGAAATTACAGGAGGCCAGGGATCTATTATCTTACTCATCACTGTATTTTCAGCACCTAAAATACTACTTAGCATGTCTGTTTAATGAGTGACTGCTGTATACCATTGAATATCATTTCTCCAACAAGTTTTCCTGGTCTATTCTGGGTGCCGTCCACAGCTAATGATCCCTCCACATGCTGAAAACCATCCCAGACTACACACATATTATAAAAGTTAAAGAGAGCATATTGGTGAATGGAAATGATTGATGCAACCGTTGCAATTTTAGGAATTTTTTTTCCAGAAAAAATTTGGGGAGTGTTTGTTTGTTTGTTTGTTTTTGTCCAGGAATACAGAATTTAATTCATCTTTCTTTCCCTCAATTTTTCAACTTTTTTATTTTGAAATAATTTTAGCTTTACATAAAAGTTACAAAAATAGTACAGAGAGTTCCTGTATACCCTTCACCTAACTTCCTCTAATACTGATAACGTACATGCAGCAGTACAATGATCAAAACCAGGAAATTACCATTGATACAATGCCATTAACTAATCTAGAGCTCTTATTCGAATTCTGTCAGTTTTCTAAGATCTCCTTTGTCTGGCCTAGTATCTAATTTAGGAGCCTATACTGAATGTAGTTAATTAATTAACAAAGAGATTAATTAAAACTGTTATATCTCCTTAGTCTCCTCCCATTTGTGGAAGTTCCTGTCTTGTTTTTCATGACTTGGACATTTTGAGGAGCACTGGTCAGTCATTTGGTGGAAGATCTCTCAATTTGGATTTGTGTGATATATTCTCATGATTAGATTCAGGTTATGTATTTTTGGCATAAATGCTATCTGAGTGATGTTGTCTCTTTCTCAGGGCATCATATTGGGTATATATAATGTTGATATATCTTATTACTAGTAATGCTAACTTTGATCACTTAGTTAAGGTGCGACCTGCCAGGTCTAACCACTGTAAAATCCCTCCCACCCCTTGATTTCTGTAACAAATAGCCATGGCTTTCTGGAATCCTTCCAGAAATCCAGGGCTGAGGGATGATAGTCATTCTTAAATAGCCTTAAACTACATTTTTTCTATTTTTGGACTACTAGTCAACTAAAGAATGGTAATTTGGTTTGGTGGAAAGAATAGATAAGAATTAAGCAGTAATTCACCTAATCTCTCCATTTTCCCATCAATCATTAAGGATTAAAAACATTTTTTTTGTTGTTCATAATGTTGAGTGTGGATATTTGAATGCCGTGTGAGTATTATTAAAATGTATCTCAGGTTCTTTGACTACAAGAAGAGAACAGTTGCTAGAGGTCTTATCAAGATGCCAAAGGGTACATACACATAGCTTCAAATAGAGTACATTTGTTTGTGGGAGCAGAGGCATTTGCCTAGTAAAAAATAAACAATATAAAGCTTAAATGCTATAGATTTTTTAGGATGGTAGACATTCGTACAGATCAAATTTATCAAGACAGATTAACCAAAGACCCTGGGACTTAGCTGGGCCTTGAAAAGTGAAGATGATTTTTACAGGTTGAGCAGAGAAAGATAATATGTTTGGAAATGGAGAACAGGGGACTCAAAAATGGGCAAGAGGAGGATATCTTAATTATATTCAGAGGAAAAGAAACAGATTCATCAGTTTGGATTAGAAGTTTGTGCATCACGGGGAGCCTGGGTGGCTCAGTGGGTTAAGCGTCCAACTTCAGCTGAGGTCATGATCTTGCAGTTCGTAGGTTCGAGCCCCGTGTCGGGCTCTGTGCTGACAGCTTGGAGTCTGGAGCCTGCTTCAGATTCTGTGTCTCCCTCTCTCTCTGTCACTCTCCTGCTCATGCTCTGTCTCTCTCTCTCTCTCTCTCTCTCTCTCAAAAATAAATATTTAAAAAATTAAAAAAAAAAAAGAAGTTTGTGCATCAGAAAGGAGATTGAAAGCAAAATATGGAAGTCTCTGAATGCCAGAATAAGGGTTCATTCAGTCATTCAATATACCTACTATGTGCCAGGAACTCTTCTAGGCACTGAGTTACACTGGTGAAAAAAATGTGTGAAAATTTTTCCCTTCATGGAGTTTATATTCTACCATTTAATATTTGGTCTATGAGCAATAGGAAACTAATTAAATAACTTCAAACTGATGAAAGATTATGTTCCAAATTACCATTTTAAGAAGACTGATCAGTACCAGATGTCAAGATTGAAAAGAGAGAAGGTTGGAGGATAAGTTAGATGTAAGTGTTGAAATATGCTAGTATCTTGAACTGTGGGAGAAATGATAGAAAAGCTAAATAAGAGAATCATTATTAAAAGAAATTAGGAAGGCCTGATAACTGGTTACATTGGGAAGGGAGAAAATAGAGATGAAATTTCAAGTCTGAATGACCAAAACATTATGCCATTGGCCAATGGTCAGGGAAGACAACTAATTCAGTTTGAGACATATTTAGCTTGACATCTTGGTAGGAAATTCTACTGGAACCATCCAAAGGTCTGTTGGAGTTGAAAGCTAGTGTTCAGGAGAGAGGCCAAAGCTACAGTTTTAGATATCTTCATTATCTGCAAGTGGTATTTGAGATTTTAACAGTGGAGTCTATTTTCAAAGAAGTGAATATCAAAATGGAGAATAGAGAATCAAGGATATAAACTTAGGTTACAGAAAGTGGGGGGAAACAATGCAGAATTAAAAGACACAGAACCAAAAGTATGCAACATTATTAACTAATAGTACAGGAGTGCAAAAAATAATAATATAGTAAATACTTCATAATATTTACTATGCATGACATAATATTTACTATGCATGAGTATTATTTTAAGTACTTTTTAATCTTTTTAATATTTATTTATTTTTGAGAAAGAGAAACAGAGTGAGTGGGGGAGGGGCAGAGAGAGAGGGAAACACAGAATCCGAAGCAGGCTCCAGGCTCTGAGCTGTCAGCACAGAGCCCGATGTGGGGCTCGAACTCATGAACCATGAAATCATGACCTAAGCTGAAGTCAGTCGCTTAACTGACTGAACCACCAGGCACCCTTGTTTTAAGTATATTTTTAAAATATATTAACTCATCCTCTTAATGAATCCTATTAAGTAGACACTTTTTATTATCCTCATTATACAGAGGAGGAAATTAAGGCAGAAAAAGATTACAGGTGAATCTTGATCAACTCAAGGAGTTAGTGTGAGGAAGGAAAGGAAGGAAGGAAGGAAGGAAGGGAGGGAGCGAGGGAAGGAAGGAAGGAAGGAAGGAAGGAAGGAAGGAAGGAAGGAAGGAAGGGAGGGAGGGAAGATGGAAGGAAGGGGAGAATTATTGACAGCATCAACTTTATCAAGAGTCAGTCTGCATGGGTTTAAATCTTGATCACCAGTTTTTTGATCAGGCAAATTAACTATAATTGACCCTTGAAGAACATGGATTTGAACAGTGTGGGTCCTCTTATACATGGATTTTGTTCAATAAAATACTATAAATGTATTTTGTCTTCTTAGGATTTTCTTAACATTTTCTTTCCTCCAGCTTAATTTATTGTAAGAATATTGCACACGAGTTGCTTTCTACAATTATGGATTCCTGAGTCTTATGCTTAGAAATTCTGATTGAGCATGTCTGAGGTAGGACTCAAGAATCTGCATTTTAAACAA